AAGGGCTAGTTCTTGGGAAAGAATGTCATGCATGGACAAGTAAAATGTCAACAAAGGAGAGAAATAAAGTCAAGGAGATGGAATGACACAATGACTGCAAGAATGGGAGCACAGTGGAGACTGTGAGGAGGGCATAAAATAGGGCAGTTTCATCTGTGGTCTCACTAAGAGTCGGCACAGATTTGAGGACACCTTACAGCAATAGCAATGCAATATTCCTTGTATATTTCATGTACTTTTACCAAAGTTTTATAGAAGATTAGGTGAAGATAACCAATTCCCTTTCCAGTTTCCTTCTGTTGTCATTGTTGTTATGTGCCATCGAGTCACCTACGACTCATAACAACCGTATGTACAACAGTCCTAAACCCTGCTCTATCCCTTGCCAATCTTATTGTCTCTGACACACTTATCCTCATCACCCCACTGACTGAATCAATCCATCTCATCAAAGGTCTTCTTCTCCTACACTGTCCCTCCACCCTCCCAAGCATGACATCCCTCTCCAAGGACTGATCCCATCTTGCAACACGTCCAAAGTATGTCAGACAAAGTTTCAGAATCCTCGCCTCCAAGAATGAGCCTGGCTTCACCCTCTCCAGGACAAACTTGTTTGTTCTCCTAGCAGTCCATGGTATATTCAATACTCTTCTCCAGCACCAAAGCTCAAAAGCATCAACTCTCCTTCTATTATCCCTAGTCATTGTCCAGCTCTCTAATGCATAGCATGTAACTGCAAAGGTCCATATCAGGTATACCTTAGTCTCTAGACTGACATCGTTGCTCCTCAGTACCTTTTAGAGGTCTCTGATAGCAGACTTTCCCAATGCAATTCATCTTTTAATTTCCTGGCTGCTAGTACCAAGAGTGTTAATTGTAGAGCCAAGCAAACTGAAGCTGTCAACAATCTCAATCTCTTCATCATCCATCATGATGCTGCTAATCATTCCAGTGGTGAGAATCTGTGTTTCCTTTATGTTGGTTGAGCTTCAATCCATATTGAAAGCTGCAGTCCTTGACCTTCTGCAGAAAGCACTTCAGGTCCTCCTCAGTTTTGGCAAGCAGGGTTGTGTCATCTGCATAATGCAGATTGTTGATGAGTCTACATACAATTCTGATGCCACACTTCTCCTCATGGAGCCCAGCCTCCCAGATATGTTCTGCATATAGATTGAAAATATATGGCGATAGGACACATCCTTGGCACACACCCTTCCCAATTTTGAACCATGCAGTGTTCCCTTGCTCTGTTCTGACGACTGCCTCCTGATCCAAGTATAAGTTTAGCATAAACACAATCAAGTGTTCTGGGATTCCCATTCTTCTCAGAGTCAGCCGCAATTTTTTGTGATCCACACAGCCAAAAGCCCTTGCATAGTCAATGAAACACAGATAGACATTCCCCTGGTACTCTCTTCTTTCAGCCAAGATCCATCTGACATTAGCTATACTAACCATAGTGCCACAATCTCGTCTAAATTCAGCCTGCACTTTTGGCAGTACTCTGTTGATGTGCTGTTCCAGTCGTTTCTGAAAAATCTTCAGCAGAATCTTGCTTGCATATAATATTAATGATATAGTTTGTTAATTTCCACACTGTCGGATAGCCTTTCTTTGGAATGGGAACAAATATAGATCTCTTCTAGGCAGCAGGCCAGGTGATTGTCCTCCAGATTTCTTGACCCAACTTGGTGAGCACATCCAGGCATCATCAGTTTGTTAAAATATGTCAATCAGTATTCCATCAATTCCTGATGGCTTGTTTTTTGCCAATTCTTTCAGAGCAGCTTGAACATCTTCCTTCATCGCCACAGTCTCTTGCTTTTATGTTGTTTCATGAAATTCTTCTATGTTCACTAATTCCTTTTGGTACATTGATTCTACACTTTTTTCCATCTTCTTTTAATGCTTCCTGGACTATTTAATATTCTGCCCAAAGCATCCTTAAGTATTACAACTCAAGGTTTGAATTTGTTCTTCAGTTCCTTCAGCATAAGAAATGCTGAGTGAGTTTGGCCATTTTATTTTCTGACTCCAGCTCCTTGCTCATTTCATTGTAATACTTTACTTTCTATTCCTGTGCTGCCCTCTGGGTTCAACTCCTTAATATCTTGATTCCTTCCCTTTGCTTTGGCTTCTCAGTGCTCTAGTGCAGTATTTAGAGCTTCTTATGACATCCATCTTGGTTTTTTCTTTCTCCTCTGTCTTTGTAATGACTTTTTGCATTCTTCCTGGATGATATTCTTTATATCCTCCCACAGCTCATCCAGACTTCGCTCATTAATGCCCAAGGCCTCAACCCTCTTTAATAGATTGTTTTGAAATTCAAGTGCGATAGACTCAAGGTCAAATTTTGGTTCCTGTGAACTTGATTTCATTCTCCTCAGCTTCAGCCTGAACTTGCATATATGAAGTTGGTGCCTGCATATATGAAGTTGGTGACCTGTTCCACAATCAGTACCTGGCCTGGTTTTCACAGCTGATAGTGAGCTGCTCCAGCTATTCTTTCCACAGATGTAATCAATCTGATTCCTATGCATAACATCAGGTGAAATCCATGTGTATAGCCTGTGTTTGTGTTTCTTATAAAATGTATTTGCGCATTTCTACGAAGATGGTGCCGAAAGTGAAGAAGGAAGCCCCTGCCCATCCTAAAACTGAAGCCAAAGCAAAGGCATTAAAGGCCAAGAAGGCAGTCCTGAAGGGCGTCCACACCAAAAAAAAAAAGAAGATCCGCACGTCACCCACGTTCCGGTGGCCTAAGACGCTGAGACTCTGACGGCAGCCCAAATACCCCTGGAAGAGCAGTCCCAGGAGAAACAAGCTTGACCACTATGCCATCATCAAATTCCCCTGACCACTGAGTCAGCCATGAAGAGGATAGAAGATAACAATACACTTGTGTTCATTGTGGATGTCAAGGCCAACAAGCACCAAATTAAAAGCTGTAAAGAAGCTCTATGACATTGATGTGGCTAAGGTCAACACTTGGATTAGGCCTGACGGAGAGAAGAAGGCCTATGTTCGACTTGCTCCTGACTATGATGCTTTGGATGCTGCCAACAAAATTGGGATCATCTAAACTGAGTCCAGCTGGCTAATCCAAAATACAATTTTTTCTCACCATAAAAAAAAAATAAAATGTAGTTGCAATTAATAAGCCATTCATTGTGCAAAATTCTATCATTCTGTCTCTCACTTCATTTCTGTCACCAAGTCCGTGTTTTCCAACCGCTGATCCTTCTTCTCTATTTCCAACTTTTGCATTCCAGTCATCCATTTTTATTAATACATCTTGCCTGCATATTCGATCAATCTCTGACTGCAAAAGTTGGTATAAATCTTCTATTTCCTCCTCTTTGGCTCTGGTTGTTGGTGCATATATTTGAATGATGGTGGTATTCACTGGACTTCCTATATTGGAAAATAAACTATATTGGAAACAACCCAAAGTGTCTATCAATGGTCTAATGGCTAAAGAAACTGGTGCGTTCACCCAATGGATGACTAAAAAGCAATCAAGAATAAATTAAATATTGTACAATATGGATAAAATTAGAAGAAATTAGGACTTACACAAGCCAGTCACAAAAAGTTGATTTAACATATAAAACCAAAAATACAAAAAGCCAGAAATGGTTTGCACAAAAAAAAAAAAAAATCAAAGGTGCAGTGTTAGTATTAATGAGAATCAAGAGAGAGGAGAACAAAAACAAACAAGTAAGCAAATAAGTAATTAATTAAAAGATAATAATTTTGTCAAAGTACATAAAAATACATGCAGATTGTTTTTTATGGTGCTTAGGTGCCATCAGTTTGAGTCTGACTCATAGTGACAACCATCCTCATCATCTCAGACACACTTGAGGCCAGTGCTCCAGCCACTGTATCAATCCATCTAGTTGAAGGTCTTCCTCTTTTATCAGCCCTTCACCTTCCCAAATATGATGTTCTTCTCCAAGGAACAGCCTTTTCCAGCAATATTCTCAAAGTATGTGAGATGAAGCTTTGTCATCTTTGCCTCCAAGAAGCATTCTGGCTTCGCTTTCTCTAAAAACATATCTGTTTGTTCTTTTGGCAGTCAATGGGACATTCAGTACTCTTCTGCAACATGACAGCTCAAAGGCATTAATCCTTTTTCTGTCACCCTTACTCACTGTCCAGCTCTCAGATGCATAGCAAGTAATGGAAAAGACCATGGCCTGAATTAAGTGTACCTTGGTCTTCAAACTGACATTATCGTTCCTCAGTAATTTGAAGAAGTCCCTGACTACACACTTTTCCAATGCAATACATCTCCTGATCTCCTGACTGTTGGTACCAAGGGTGTTGATTATGGATTCAAGTCAAGATGAAACTGACAATTTTATTCTTTCCTTCATCTATCAAGATGTTACTTGGTAGAAAGACAGATGATAGATAGATAGATAGATAGATAGATATATAGATAGATAGATAGATACATACATACATACATACATACATACATACATACATACATACATAGATAATACACATACTTTTTAAAAAGACAGTACACCTCCCTCATATTGTTTATTCATAAATTGAGGGGATGAGAGGAATAGGAAAATTCAAAGGAGGGACAAAAAGAGAAACTAGTACAGACTTAAAAGAAATTTTGCTTTTACAATACAAAATAAGACGTTTCTTTGCTCTTGTTACATGCCATTAAGTCAGAACCTGTTCATAGCTGACCCTCCAGGAGATTTTCAGAGGTTGTAAATTGAACAGGAGGAGACTGCCAATCTTTCTCCCACGGATGCCTCAAACAAATATACCTCCCGTAAAGATAATAATCATCCTTTAATTTATATCATTTGGATGTTAGATTTTTAACACCTGCATTTTCATACTTTTAGAAGAAATAGTTTGGCTATTTAAAAAACTAGAAATATTATCTCCTACAATTTTGTTCTTATCCTCTTAAAAATAGATGAAAATTTAAGTGCTAGACAGGAACCAACTTAGTTCAAACTTACCTAAAATAAAAATTGCTAGATAGGTCCACATTTTGGAATATTCGCAGATACCTTAAAAAAAAAAAAAAACAACCAAACACATAAACATATTACATTCACATAATACTATTTTTTTTTCATAATTTAGCATTGTGGAGCTTATCTTTCAATAAGCCTTTTACTAGTAATTATTTGACTTTGCTACGTAGATGGACAGGAATATGCAAATGGAGCATGGTAGCCTATCCACAAGGAGATTGGCTATCTACTATTCCACAAGGGTACTGGCCAGTCTCAACAATCTACAAGGGGATCGGCTAGTCTCACTATTAAATTGAGCAAGACAGCAGGCAGACAGATCTTCTGACCCCACTGAAGAAAAAGCAGGACAATGTGGAATGTTCTTCTTCTTCAAGCTACACCTATGGCAACAATATCTACAGCTGAACTGGAGACATGATGTGAGATGAGACTTTGCAGGGACGGGAGAGAAGAGCCAATATTGGCAGGACTGAGAACTTTATTGGACAGTTGGGGATGGGAAGCCCATACTGATGGGACTGAAGACCTGGGAACAATGGCCAAAAAGCCACAAGGCGGGAGGCTGAGGTACCTTGTATGCACATTTGTATAAACATATGGATTTAATTCATCAACTTTAACTGACACTTTGTACCTTACATAAAATTTCCACTATTTCATTCATCTAACACATTGCTGATAAGCCATTAGGTTCTTTCTAGTTCTCCACTCTTTGATACAAGGAAATATAAGGCTGTCAAGAATATTCTCTCTATATGCACATGTGTATATAAGAGTTTCTCTAGGGCTCATACATAGAGTAACAACAACAAACTCTTTCTGTAGAGTCAATTTTAACTCATGGTGACGCCATATGTGCAGAATTGCTCCATATGGTCTCCTTGGTTGTAATTGTTACAGATGCAAATTGCCAGGCCTTTCTACCATGTGACCACTAGATGAGTTTGAACAGCCAAACATTAAATTTGTAACTGAAGGCAAATAATTTGTATCATCCAGGGACTCAATGATTTCTAATATATGTATGTTTTTAACTGGGCTAGAAAACATTGTTCTCTCAAATGTCTTAAATATTACACTCTAACTCAAAGTGTATAAATGTTGCCAATTTCTACCTCTCTAACTAATACTTTAAATTGGCAGACAATTTCATTATCCACAATCTGATGAAAATTAAATGCTATCTTTTAAATTTTCATTTCTTTCTCTGATTATAGCTGTTCATATCTTTTGACCATTTTTCAGGACATTTGTCTTGCAGAAGCTTCCACAATATGGATTTGTCTGATTATTCCTCATATTTAGATGCAAATTAAGTATTTTCTTGCAAAAAAAAAAGCGGATCACTGGACTGTGTTCTTCCCATTACAGGCACGTAATGCAAGCTTTTGCTTCTTTTGAAGACACCAAGTTTACTTGTTTTATTAACTTTAGCTGTCCATTTTTTTCCACAATAAAAAGAATTTTTTTTTCTCTCTGTAAACAATAAGAAGATTCATGGAGTGATATATGAAGACTGTAAATATTTTGTTTCTCCCCCAAACAAGCTTTCTCACCTAATAGTTTTAGAACCTATTGTGTTTTCTTGCCTGAATATATTCTTATAATATAGTTTCTAATTGTTGTTGTTATATGCCATTGAGTCACATGCAACTCACAGCGACCCTATGTACAACAGCTTTATCTTGAGCCAATTTCATTGTCTCTGACACAAATACCCCCATTTCCCCAGTCACTGAGTCATTTCATCTCATCCAGGGTCTTCTCTTGCGCTGTCCCTCCACACTTCCAAGCATGATCTCCTTCTCCAAGGACTGGTCCCTCCTGGCAAAAGTATGTCAGATGGAACTTCAAAATCCTAGCCTCCAAGAGCAGCCTGGTTTCACCTGCTCCTGGACAGAGCTGTTTGTTTTCTTAGAAGTCAGGAGTATATTCAATATTCTTCTCCAGTACCACAACTCAAAGGTATGCATTCTTCTTCTGTCCTCCTTAGTCACTGTCCAGCTCTCTAACACATAGCAAACAATTGCAAAGACCTTGGCATGAATCAGGCACACCTTAGTCTGCAGACTGACACCAATTAATAGTTACTAAGAGCATTTAAAAAATTTCTAAAGTTCTGAGCCAGCATTTGAACTTTTTATATATATTTATAATCCTTTCAAAATACTTGTTTTCTGATTGGTCTATCACATTACAAAAGTAACAATCAATATCAGTACATACCTAGCTTCATCAGGGTGAGTTATTCGTACAGAATCATTAGGTATATAGATCATATTTGTATCTTCAATCTTATAAATTGCATGACCACCAATATCTGCCATCTTCCTCCTTTTAGTAATTAACACAATATAATAACCTTCTAAAAATCTGACGAAACCTATGCAATTAAAAAACAGAAAGATAAATGGAACATTTTAGAAACTTAATAATGCTTTTACATATTTTTAGAGGAATAATCAGACAAATCTATATATTTAAAAGGCTAAGGTCGTGATCTACATATCTGACTTTATTATTTTTCCATGATTTTTAGTCATAAAAATTTTCACTTGCTTTATTAATTAGTCCCTAGAAATAGCTATATTTTCTCTTTAACTTTATTTTTTTTATGTAACTAACTTTAAAACATTACTTTAAACCATTTTACCTCGTTCATTTATTCCTTTAATGTAATATCATTCCAGAAACACATAAAAGTTAAGCAAAAAATAAAAGAGAAAAATTAAGGTTAAGGAAAGTAGGATGAAGCCAAGATAGCTGTGGTTCTACTGAATCCAACATATATGACATGGTAAGACTGCTTCATAGTGGTTTTTCTAGGCTACAACCACTCCAGGAGTAGATTTCTAGGACTTTTCTCCCACAGAACCACTGGTGGGTTCCTACTGATAACCTTTCGTTTAACCCCTTACCATTATGGCACCAGAATACATACTATTCTGTATATTTTCCTCCCAAATTTCTAACAGATAACACACAAATGAAAACACATTTAATTATCCCATATACAGTGTAATGGGGGTAGGTGTGTCGGAATCAGTGAGACTAGCTCAGGACAGGGTGGGCTTTAAAGCTGCTATACATAGGATCCCCTGTACAGGCGACTCAGTGGCACTTAACAACAACAGTGTCTACTGATAAAGAGCTGTGCTGCCAATCCAAAGGCAAATAGCTTGACTCTACCAACTGTTCCATGGGGAAAAGATGGGCAATCTCCTCCCATGCAATTTACTGCCTCTGAAAACCCATTAGAGAGTCAGCTGTGGGTCAGTTCCAACTCACAATACATAACAACAACACACTGTCTGTAAGGTAAATAACAAACCACTCTAGAATGATGAGGTAATTCTACAAAAGCCCTCTTTTATTTTTTTTTTTAAAAAAAGGAGGATTTTGTGATACCGGAATAAGCACTTTGGGAAATTTCTACAGCTGTGTCAAGGACACAAACATCTTACGGGAATTTCTTTTGCCAAAGCACAATTTGATAAATGTAATTTATATATCTCTGGAGAGAGGATGAAAGGCACCCAAGCATCGAGGACTTTCCCTCATAGGGTCACTATGAGTCACCTGTGACTCGACGTTACTTAACAACACCACCACCACAATTTATATATATATATTTCAATAATGGCCCAGTTTAACTTAAAGATAAAATTTGGATATCTAAGAAAGTATGTCAATAATTCGTTTTTTTAAAAGTAAATAATTAGTCAAAAGGTTCTATGGGAAAAGGTGAATTGTGAACAAATAGATTAGGAAAACACTGGGTTAATGAACTTAAAAAAAAAAAATCAACAAAAAGCCTACCTAAATTTTTCAAAGCCTAAAAGTGCTAGGCTACTATGCACTATAAATGCCTATTAGGGGGAGATCCAAGATGGCGGCAGAGGCAGAGACAGCATGGTGAGCTGCGGGAGCAGCGAACCACTTAAAGCAGGGCCATTATGGCCTTCCACAGACTTCAGCTTATTGATAATTGAACATTTAAGCAGTTGATGACTGGTCCTCAGTGAAGATCGAGGCTCAACAACAGGAATCCAAGGATTCCCAAGGAGAAATGGGTGAGTCTCGTGGCTCCCAAACCGCCCCCCCGCCCCCGCAGAACCCTCGCTGCGCCGCACAGCCGTTGCAGCTCCATGAGGCTTCCACAGCCGGAACGAATGGATTCCCTCACCCAGGATGGATGCTGGGCACCGGCCCTCCTCAAGACTGGTACAGTGAAGCCACCACACTGCCGCAAGGTGGACTTGATCTGGAGAGAATTCTTGGAGCCAGGAGGGCGGCTGCAAGGGAAGCAGGCACCCTCCAGCCGCCCGCACAAGAGGGGCCGCACACCAGCCGAGC